AGAAAGGGTGCATGTCATCACATATACTGAGCTCATAGTACTGCAGGACTCATACATCATTACTAGAGTGCTACTCATCCCGAAAGAATGGCCGTCTTCCAAAGCTGTCAAGAACAAAGAAAAAGCTCCTGTGACATCACCAGACTGGCAAGAAGACTACAGAAAAGAGGAATGGTGGTAGGCCCATCCTTCTGATTTTCCCAGATAGTTTTAAAGGCCCATGAGAGAGGAGTTAAGAAGCATGAGGAGTGAAGGAGACCTTGCGTTGGCAGCAAGATCTTGTTTCCTTGGTTGGGTGAAGGACACCTACACCACCATATAAGTGATCAGTTGGTGACCCTTATTCTCTTCAGGGGAGACGCGATGGTTCCTCCCTGGAAGCCAACAGTCCACCCTGCACTCATCCTTGTAACGATGGGCAGCCATATAGAATGCCATGGATGGTGCCAGAACCAGGTCAAAAGATGTGAAATTACCGCCACTCCAAATTAATGCGTTTCATGTGTTTGTAGTGAAAAACCGCATCACCTGAGGCATAAGAAGCCAACCTTATGGTGAAACGCATTGATTTGGAGTGCTTGGGAATTGGAAGGGGACTCTTATTTTGCATGATTACGGATTCCTATTTGCTTGACAAACATGGGTACTAAGGTGCCTGATGACTCCATATGGCCCAGGGAAGAATTTCCTGCTGGTACAATGTTGCAACGTTGATGACCTTACTGACAAGTATGCCACTGTGACACCACTGTGTTAGAGTGATACCTCTGTGTTGAAATTGTGACCGAATTTCTCTAAAAATAAGTGTCCCCTTGTCATCCAAAATAAACGTCCCCTTCAAATTCCTAAGCACTCCAAATAAATGCGTTTCGCATGCAAGGCCCCAAAAGGTTGGCTTCTTATGCCTTATATGACACGATCTTTACGATCAACTCATTCATTTGGAGTGTTAGTGACTTCACATCTTTGGATCTGGTTCTGGCAGGGCACCATCTATGGCATTCACTTTGAGCGACCATAATAGCAAGGTTGAGTACAGTGTGGAGTGCAGGACTTTATATCCTCTTGTCTCTCAGGGAGGAACCCATCACTTTTCCCCTGAATTGGGGTATTTTTTTTTTTTTCAATCTTACTTAAGGTTGTTAGTTATTGACCAATCCTGGAATGATTTTACCTCCATCTGTGATTTTCAGGCAAGCACTGGCCAATGGGCTGCCCTGGGTACCCCTTGGGGGTAGTAAACAAGTACTTCTAACCTAACCTATGAAGTGTATTGGCTCTAAAAATAAAACAAAAGCTTGTACACATTGCAATTGTCAGGTGACCCTGAGACTTTCTCATAAAGATGTATTTCGGTCTTGATTGACAAGGTCACGCACCCAATACACAACATAAATGTCGGCGTAGTCAGACAAGGCCGACCTCTATGGTACATAACATTTTGACTGAAAGCCCACTGACAGATAAAACTTGTGTTTGTTAGTTTTGGATAGTGTGTCGAAGTGTTGGAACTTCTGTCAGATTTTTGTCGTAGGCCATCGGACCAAGGATCTTTGAATCAATTTCTTCCTTTATAAGACTTTGTCAATCTGGAATGAAATTGAGTGATCACCTTCTGCTGTTTCATGTTCATGTTTTTATAGCTGTTTTAGTCCTCACTGCTGAGATTTTCCTTCCATTTCTGTTAACCCTTTTACTCGACCAACTATTCTCCACCAGGGTTCCTCCAGAGGTTGCTAGAGGTTCCCTGAGCTGTCTACAGCCAATTCCGCTTGACAATAAGGGTTACTGTAGGGTTAAAAGGTTGACAAAGGCTGTAGTAGACAGATGTTATGGGTGAATCTTCTCAACAGAGGCAAGAACTTGTACGGGGTGTAGGTCCCTTTTGTGGAAGGCTCCATCAGCATGTTGATAGGGAGCCTGGCTTCCCCATCATTCTTTTTTTCCCTGATAGTAATAAAGGTCCAAGCAGAAGGGTTTGAGAGGCTTGAGAAGTTGCAGAGACCTTGTGTTGGGACTCAGGTGGAAGGTCTTATTTCTTTGGTTGGGTGAATGACACTTATCACCATATCAGCCTTCTGTGATGACTTTTTTCCAATTTGGGGGGGAAGAAGGGATTTGGAAGAGTATAAGGATCTTGTAAGGGATTTCCGTGATCGGGAACACACATGCACATAGGAATTCCCACAGAAGAATTGCCGGTTGTGCACATGCACGCAGGAATGCGCGACCGCACACACGCACGCGCATGTGCACACGCACGGTGAAGATTGGTGCCAGATGGCCCATTTAAGGAGTGCTTCTGCTCAGGTTCAGTGCTGACTGGTCTTCAGCTCCCCCCGTGTCCTGCTTGCTCCTGTACGATTCCTTTGTTGCTGACCCGGCTTGTTCCTGACCCGACTCCGATTACTCTCCTGCTCCTGGTTCCTGACTTCGGCTTTACTCCTGACTTTGTCTTTTCCTTCTGGTTCTGTACCGCGCTGCCCGTTTGTTTATGACCCCGGCTCTCCTTGACCCTGCTCCAGTCCTGTGTCCTGGCTACCTACCTTGCTCTGATGCACATCTGGCAATCCACAGAACCTGCCTGGTCTATTTCTACGGTGCCCAAATCAGAGGATACTCTGCCTACCAAGGTCATCATCTGCAAGAACCGCAAGCAACAACCACTGGCGCTCTTGTCCCCCTGGTCCCTAGACTCCCTCTGTTCCAACCTCAGTGGGGTCAGGGCTAGTGACACAAGTGAGGCTGTCAGGGATCTCCGCGATCCCTGCCACGATGGTCCCGGCGCAGGCGCACTGCGCCACCCAGTGCACGGGCACTAGGTCCGGGCCGGCCGCGGCGTTCGAGTTCGCGCATGCGCAGTAGAAGCCGCGGCCGCCCGCTGGGCACCAATGGCAGCGCAGGGCGGGATATTTAAAGGTCCCTGAGCTGTCATTTCGTTGCCTTCTGGTCTTACCTGCTTCCTGTGATCCTGTACCTGTGCCTAGTAAGTTATTGACCCGGATTGCCTTTGACCTTGCTGATTTCTCCTACCCAGACCCCTGCTTGCCTGACCTCTCTCCCTGGATGCCCCTTATTAGATCTGACCTCCTGTTGCTGACCTGGCGTGTGACCCGACGATTCTCTGCCTGCTCCCTTGTACCTTACCGTCCTCTACCTTACCGACTCGGCCTGTCTGACTACGCACCTGCTCAGCCATCCATCCATCCATCCCATCGGGCTCACCTGACCTCCTCACATCTGGCTCTCCCTGGTTGGAACCCCTGGCGAACACCCTACCACTGACAGGTGTGCTCAGTAGAGGCGACCTGGTCTCGGGGTACTACAAGTCCATCCCCACCATCAGGGGCCCTGGTGAACAAGTACCCGGGGCTTAGACTCCGCGCTCTGGGCACGCCTGACCAGTGGAATGCTAGTGGTGCCGCTCGGCGGTCCCTCACAGAGGCCGACTTCGTCAATTCAGTCTCCCATCAGGTACGTGACAGATCTACACAATACTCAATCTTGTAATGATGGGTGCTCAAAGTGAATGCTACGGGTGGTGCACTGCCAGAACCAGATGCAAAGATGCAGTCACCAGCGCTCCAAAAGAATGTGTTTCACGTGTTTATGGTGAAGAAAGCACCACATAAAGTGTAAGAAACCTCACAGGGTCCCTATGTTGCCTGTGAAATTAATTTATTTGGAGTGCTTGGGATGTGGAAGGGTCCCTTATTTTGGATGCTGAAGATTCCTTTTTCTTTTTCTTTTAGTTTTGGTACTAAGATGCCTGGTGACTCCAAATGGCATGGGAAGAGTTTCTTGCTGGTTGCAACACTGATGACCTTGTTGAGGTGTATACCAATTCATTGGATTTATATCAGAATTTCTCTCAATAAAGAGCATCTTGCTGTTTTCTGGTTTGGGCAGTCCTGTTATTAAGAACATTTTCTCTATGCAAGAATCTGTGGAAGGTAGGGAGCGGGTTGTAAGTTATGGAGTGGGCTTGGAGAAGTAGTGTAGACTTGTCCACCTTTGCCAGGCTGAAAGCCCCTCATGTTCCAGTAGAGCTAGGGCATGGGAAACTATATTTGTACCCAATGTGATGGCCCTGAGTGTGTGGAATAATGTGTCCCTGATTTGGGATGTGAAGAGCTTCAGCTAGACTGGTCACTGTTTGATCCTGGGATCTAAACTCCCTCCAAGGACCAGAAGGTAGAGCAGAGCCTTGAGTTTGGGGAAGTTATTTCAAATAGCCCTGAAAAAAGAGTCATGTGGTTTACCAAGCAATGTCTGGTTCATGTTACATCCACATTGCAAACCGAAAACGCTATTATTTAGTGTAGCAATACCCCCGTAGGAGTTCCTGAATATTTGTTTCCCCCTATAGTCCAGTACGACCAGGCAACACACATTTCCTTCCAGACTGGCATGCCAGAGACAGTAAACAGTCTTTTTATTGGTTGGATTGAAACTTGGATAGGGATGAGGGATACATGGGATTCACAAGGAACTGAGTTCAACTTCCTGGAACTGTGTACAAATACTCAGAAGGGTTTCTCTTCTTGGAGAGCTATCCAGCCTCTCCTTGTGTACCTCTTCAGATCCCAGATGAAATGTCCTCTTCAACTAGCTGCCTGATGGAATCCCTGGTCAAGAGGTCCCAGAAGCTGCCACTTTAGATGAAAGCAGTCCCAGATGTGAGCTAGTCAGGTTTCCCATCCGAATGCCCTTTCCCCTTGTCTGGCTCAGGGGGTGTGAGGTTACTCTATCTGTCTCTCCTGCAAGCTTGCGGGTCTTCAGGCCTTACGCTGGGCTGGCTCCTACCCTGCTTCCCAGGCTGTTCTCTCTCAGGGGACAATGAAGCTGAGAAATCCTCCCTTCAAGCTTCTACACCTGTAGGCAGGCCCCACTCCTGAACCCCTTCCCAGACTCCACACTCCATCCTGCTCACTCCATTTTCCACCTGAACTCTTTCTGCTGCTGAGCAGGCTCGGTCACTCTCAAGGGTTGTCCTGACCCAGGAGCGCACTGACCATTGGAGCACTCAGGCACTGCCGAGGGCCCAGGGTCAGTAGGGGGCCCCATGAGATGCCCCTGGTACCTTTCAGAGGCTTTTTTGGGTGTGGTTTGAGTGTGGGCGGGGATACAGGGGCCCCATGATCCCCTATTGCCCGGGGGCCCCATGAGTTGTCAGTCCCTATTGCCCTGCCTGACCCCATGCCAAGCCTCCTGCTTGGGGATTGGCCAGGATCCCTTGAGAGTGCAGACCAGCTCCTCCCCTGCCCACTGAATTCTAGAGAGTTCTCCAAGTCTCTAGATCAGGGGGAAGTTCTAGAGAGCTGATCTCTCTCACCCCTGACCAAAATTTGACCCCTCTGAGTATTTCTCCTGGTTGCTATTCAGCCTCCTACTAAAAAAGGAATGATCTTAGCTCCCCCTAGCTACCTAGGAGGGTGCTACATTAGTATACAAAGAGTAGTTAGATCCTCTCTCAGGTTTTTATTGTCGTGTCCCTCTCCCCTCCCATCCTCAGTGACATTCTATTTGTCATCGGGTAGCAGAATCACCCCTGAGACACATCATACTACACTCGTTGTTTTCAGTCCTTCTTTTGTCCTCTGTAGCATAGCGAAAGTCTCTTTCACCTTATAAATCAGTTACTGAAGAAACCACATTCCTCAGTGGAAATGATTAAAGAGTCTAACAAGTATTTGCTGACAGTGAGAATACTGTAGGAACAACTGAAAGCTTAACTCCGCACTACAAAAAAAATATATTACTCAGTAGCCACAAGGGATACAAACCGGCTTTGTGAGCACCAAAAATCTTTGCAAGCCCAGATATTACCTTGTAAGAAATAGTAGTGACATCATCATGGTGCTGTACATAGCCTGTGCAAAGAGCAGAGCTGTGGGAGGGGCCCAGAGGGTCCACCCACTACAGGTTGCCTGCAGTAAACCACAGGAGGGGGTGGAGACCAGACTCATCACTCTGCAAAAGGACAGAGAGCAGCAGTCGCAGGGGTTGGTCCATTCTGGATTACTGCACAGATCTGGAAGATATACACAAAGCTCGCCTTGGAGCCAAGGAACACATGACCATTATAATTAGGGAATATTTGTTTAGCCGAGAGTTCAGCTTTAAATAGTATGGTTTTATTCAGGGGCGGACTGACAACTCATGGGGCCCCCGGGCAATAGGGGATCATGGGGCCCCTGTGTCCTTGCCCAAACTCAAAAAAGCCTATGAAAAAGGTACCAGGGGCATCTCATGGGGCCCCTACTGACCCCGGGCCCTCGGGCAGTGCCCAAGTTTCCAAATGCTCAGTCCGTCCCTGGTTTTATTAGATATTTGGGAGAATAAACATTTCATTGTAGATGCAGCACCCCGTAGGTAGCTAGGCTTCGTTGTGAGTGAGATAGTGAGTTCACCTCAGGACAGGCTGAAAGGCTCTACAGGTCAGGGCTTCTGGAGCCCTCCCTCCCTTCTAGGAACTCAGAGAACCTTCTGGAATAGGGGTGGAGGAAACCCAGATCTGCATGTTTGAGGGACTTTGGCCATCCTCAGGCAGGAGGCAGGGTGATCAAGGTGATCAAGGACAACCCTTAAATTTGGCAGAGTCTGAGCAGCAGGGGAGTCGGCTGGAAGATGGAATGAGGGAAGGCTGGAGTGTGGAGCCTGGAAGGAGGCCCCAGGGAGGGGAACCTACCTACAGGCTGGTTACTGGAGAGAACGATCTTCACTGTTCCCACCACCTCTTAGGGAGGACATCCTGAGCAGCAGGAAAGGAGGCAGCCCAGCGAAAGGCCTGAATGCAGCTATCAACCCATCAAGCTACAGGACAAGACAGTGTGAGTACCCCTACACCCCCTGGCCAGATAAAGGTAGAGGGGGTAGTCATGTGCTATGCCCAACTAGTCCTTATCTGGGACTACTTAACTGGCAGATATTGGAATCCCTTGCCCAGGGATATTCTCAGTGCAGCTGGGTGAAGATGAGGATTCATCTGGGGTCTGAGGAGGTACACCAAGGGGACCTCAGTGCTTCGTAACAGAGACAGTTGCTATTGTGATCCACATTTTTGTACAGTATTGTTGCTAAGAAGTTGGTCCTCAAGTTTGCAGTTCCTTGGACATCCCATATACCTCTAGACCCCATCCACGTTGTTAACCCCTTAATAAAAACAACTAAAAACCAGCTCAAGGACTGTTTACTGACTCTGAATGCACAAGCGTGGAAAAATGCGTGCTGCCTGGCCATGCAGAGCTTAGGGGGACCCAAAACAATCCAGGAGCCCTCAAGGAAGTAGTGCTACATATATAAAGTGCCAAATAAATATAATTTTTTAAAAAAGTCCTGCCGGGTTTATTGTGTTGGTGTCCCCACTAGAGAGATTTTTTTTTCTTCCTGTGGCAGTAATGGGCAGGGGCGGACTCGGGCACTGCCCGAGGGCCCAGGGTGAGTAGGGGGCCCCATGAGATGCCCCTGGTACCTTTTTCATAGGCTTTTTTGAGTTTGGGCAAGGACACAGGGGCCCCATGATCCCTATTGCCCAGGGGCCCCATGAGTTGTCAGTCCATCCCTGGTAATGAGTCTACAGATAGGGGTAAAAAAACCTGAAAGAGGTTCTGATCCTTCTCCATTTTACCCGATTCTGAGGATAACATCACAGATATACCAGGAACAATAAAAGGTACCAACTATTCTCCTCTGACCATCTCCTATAGTAGGACTGGACTGTGATGTTAGGGGGATCTCTGTGGACTCTCATGATAAGGGGGGGCTGTGGTGACCAGAGACCCCTTACATTAGAGTTTCCCTTTACACCAGAGTCCGCAGAGTTCTGCTTTTACATCAGAGTCCACAGTGTTCCCTTTTACGTCTGGGTCTGCAGAGTTCCCCCTTGCACTGTAAAGGGGAATTCTGTGATGGGTTATAATAACCTGACCTTCATGTCAAGAAGAAAAAATATGTTTTCGCCTTATGAACTTTTTTGAAGTGTCAGTAAAAAAGTTGTCTGTCAGTAAATTTTCTGAGTTTTGCCAGTAAAAAAAATTGGTGCTGTCAGTAAATTTTTGGTGTCCTGTCAGAAAATTTCTGTCCTGGAGGTTGGCAATACTGAGCCTGACTACATTACAGTGATTTAAAAAAAAAAAACTTCAATTGGACTTTAAATGAAACTAATGCAAATACCTGACGGCCACTTGAAGTCAGAATCCTGTAGTCCTCTATAAGTCGGGAGAAGGCAGGTAAGGCTCATATCCTGACAGCACATATTTTAAAGCAGCCAATCTCAACCAGGGGTTCCGTGGAACCTTTGAGTTCCTCCAGAGGTTGCTAGGGGTTCCTTGAGCTGTGTGTGATTGACCTCCCATTTGGTGGTACCTGCATAGTTCTGGAGTTGACGCCACTTGAAGAGCCAGCTGCATGTACCCAAAGCTGTCTGTAAGGGTGCCATTCTGACCTCCACTGCAATGGGGACATTATTCCCACTTGGCGCCAATGTAAGGGGCATTTTTTCCCCCACTGACCACCAATGAATTGCTATGTGTAGGGTTTCCCTGAGACCTGAGAATTATTTCAAGGGTTCCTCTGGGGTAAAAAGGTTGAGAAATATTCTTTAGAAGAGCCCTTCGATTCCCTTACTAAAAAGCACAGATGGGAAAATCTCCACTGCTGGCTATTGCATTCTGCAGCCGACACCTATACAATAAAGGAAATTAATATATGCTCCCCTGCTGGTTTTAAATGTTTGCCACTTCACAAAGAAATGATCGGTCTAACAATGGAATGTTCGCCCCTCACAAAGAAATGATCGGTCTAACAATGGAATGTTCGCCCCTCACACAGAAACGATCGGTCTAACAATGGAATGTTCGCCCCTCACAAAGAAATGATCGGTCTAACAATGGAATGTTCGCCCCTCACACAGAAACGATCGGTCTAACAATGGAATGTTCGGTGTAACACTGAGAGACAGAATACAACAACAAATTCAGCAGAAATGCGTCTAACAAATGATGACTGATCTGCATGTTCATGAGGGAAAGAAGGATTTGATCCCCTATCATTCAGCAGGATTTCTGGCTACCAGGTGTCTTTCATACAGGTAACAAGCTGAGATTAGAAGCAGTCTCTTAAAGGGAGTGCTGCTAATCTCATTGTGTTACCTGTATAAAAGACACCTGTCTACAGGAGCCATCAAACAATCAGATTCCAAACTCTCCACCATGGCAAAGACCAAAGAGCTGTCCAAGGATGTCAGGGACAAGATGGTTAGACCTACACAAGGCTGGACTGGGCTACCAAACTATGGCCAAGCAGCTTGGTGAGAAGGTGACAACAGTTGGTGCAATTATTCTCAAATGGAAGAAACACAAAACAAGTGTCAGTCTCCCTAGGTCTGGTGTACCATGCAAGATCTCCCCTCGTGGAGTGTCAATGATCATGAGAACAGTGAGGAATCATCCCAGAACTACACGTGAGGATCTTGTCAATGATCTCCAGGCAGCTGGGACCACAGTCACCAAGAAAACAATTGGTAACACACTACGCCGACAAGGACTGAAATCCTGCAGTGCCCGCAAGGTCCCTCTGCTCAAGAAAGTACATGTCCAGGCCCGTCTGAAGTCTGCCACTGAACATCTGAATGATGCAGAGGAGGACTGGTGGGAAGTGTTGTGGTCCGATAAGACCAAAATCAAGTTCTTTGGCATCAATTCAACTCACCACGTTTGGAGGAGGAGGAATGCTGCCTATGACCCCAAAAACACCATCCCAACTGTGAAACATGGTGGTAGAAACATTCTGCTTTGGGGGTGTTTTTCTGCTAAGGAGACCGGACAACTGCACCGCATCAAAGGGACAATGGATGGGGCAATGTACCATCAAGTCTTGGGTGAGAACCCTCTTCCCTCAGCCAGGGCATTGGAAATGGGTCGTGGATGGGTGTTCCAGCATGACAATGACCCAAAACACACGGCCAAGGCAACAAAGGAGCAGCTCAAGAAGAAGCACATTAAGGTCCTGGAGTGGCCTAGCCAGTCTCCAGACCTTCATCCGATTGAAAATCTGTGGAGGGAGCTTAATGTTCGAGTTGCCAAACTTCGGCCACCAAACCTTAATGACTTGGAGAGGATCTGCCAAGAGGAGTGGGCCAAAATCCCTCCTGAGATGTGTGCGAACCTGGGGGCCAACTCCAGGAAACGTCTGACCTCTGTGATTGCCAACAAGGGATTGGCCACCAAGTACTAAGTCATGTTTTGTGAAGGGGATCAAATCCTTCTTTCCCTCATGAACATGCAGATCCGTCATCATTTGTTAGACACATTTCTGCTGAATTTTTGTTGTATTCTGTCTCTCAGTGTTACACACCGAACATTCCATTGTTAGACCGATCATTTCTGTGTGAGGGGCGAACATTCCATTGTTAGACCGATCGTTTCTGTGTGAGGGGCGAACATTCAACATCAGCCGGGGAGCAAATACGCATTTCCTTCACTGTACATGTCAGAATACCCAAGCAATGGCCGCATCTGATTGCCAATGTTTTCCCACCCAGCAACCTTAATTTTTAGATCAGAGGATGTTGGGCAGGAAGAGGCTGACACGCACAGCAAGAATTTTGTCCAGTTCATCTGAAACTGAGGAGTGTGGGGGTTCTACGTGACCAAGCTGTGGGGGTGAAGGACCCAACTGTACCATCTAGGTGCATAGAATTATAAACCCCTTACAGGTTGACTCCATTCCCATATACTGTATGTATTTAAAACCCAGAATTCTTAATGGACCAAGAGGGGTGTCTGAGCACACATACTGTTTATTATTTTTTTTTTTGCATGTTCACAATTTTTAATGGGCAGGGAAGGTACACGCACTTGCTAGACATGTGGGGTTGTCATTAGGAAGTAATGGCACCCAGAGGCGTCTGCAAAAGGTCGTATGGGTGGTGTCGGACAAGCATGATTTTGCATGTGTTACCGCATTACATCCGGCGTGCACAAGCCCTAAAATGTAGTCTGTGAGGCAGAGTTCAGTGATCTTAGGTTGTAATTCTTCTCCCCCAAAATTCCCCCTCCTAGCAAAAATCAGCCACTCCCACCAACTTATGGGGCCCCCAGGCAATAGGGGATCATGGGGCCCCTGTGTCCTTGACCACGCTCAAAGCACACCCAAAAAGCCTATAAAAGGTACCAGGGGCATTTCATGGGGCTCCCTACTGTCCCCGGGCCCTCGGGCAGTGCCCGAGTGCTCGAATGGTTGGTCCGCCCCTGGGTGTAAGCCGGCGCACACAATCCTCAGCTTGTCTAAGCCTTGAAGATGGAACGTTTCCGGGAGTTATCTACACCACTTTCACTCTGTCCAAACTGCATTGTGCCTGTTTTTCAAAGTGGGCTTCAGAATAAATCCAAATTTAAGAGAACCAACATTCAGACCAATAGTTCTGAGTAAGCAAAAACGAAAGAAGAAGCACATGATGCAACGTGAGCTGCCACAAGCCCACCCAAGCTGTCATTTTGATTTGTAGATCTTCTGCCTTCTAGACCGGCTACTTTGCCCTGTCTTGGGAAGCCAGCTGAGAAGTGTCTAGCCATGGTCAAGGTAGTGGAGAACTCGCCCTATCGTTGAGCCGCCTCTCAGCAAGGGGGAGCAGCTGTTAAAACTTGCATCAGCATGTCAGACTATGAGAACCATCTCTGAAGACACTTCAGTCTTGGATTGCTATTTAAAACATCACGAGGAGTCACTTCACACATTGCATTGTTAAGGTCAAGTGAACGGAGAGCCAAGGATTCCATGTTCCGCTCTTTGCATAGTGTCTCTTTGTTAGGGATTATACAAGCGAGCTCATTCCCAATTGAACATCATTGCTGGAGAACCAGATGAAAGAAACCCAACATTGCTAACATCATCGCCTGATGCCCCCAACAGATGGGTCTCCCTGTTCTCTATAAAGGTGTCCAGAGAGGTGATAAAGTACAAAATCCAAAGGAGGTGACACCTTATATTCATGCCCTTTGTTCCCAGAATTACGACTTAAAAGGCAGAGAGGCTTTTAAAACTTGAAACTTGAACTTTCAAGACCCTGAAGGACAGACGTTGAAAGCTTACGTAACGAATGTTTAATGTGCAAAGCAGATGTGGTGATTATGTTTTTCTGGTTGTTAAAAATGAAAAGTATAATAAAATAATAATAAAAGTATATAAATGAATAAATAAAAGCAATGAACATAAGAGGGTATGGATCTACTGTAAGTAATAGACAAGCAAGAGTTGATATTCTGCAGTGCGATAAACGTAAAAGACATTGATTATACTGTACTAAAGTGTATCTAAGGCCAATTGTTTATGTTGGATAGAGATGGGATCAGTTAGAACCTTTTTCTGTCTCTCCAAATGGGGAGGTTCACACCCGCTACATGTCAATTGTATATACACTATATTGCCAAAAGTATTGGACCCACCCTCCAAATCATTGGATTCAGGTGGTCCAATCCCCTCCAAATCATTGGATTCAGGTGCTCCAATCCCCTCCAAAATCATGTGATTCAGGTGTTCCAATCCCCTCCAAATCATTGGATTCAGGTGTTCAAATCCCTTCCAAATCATTGGATTCAGGTGTTCCAATCCCCTCCAAATCATT